AAACCCTAAACCCTAGACCCCTGAATCCTACACCCTAAACCCTAAACCCCTGAATCCTGCACATTTTGGGTTTGGGAAACCCCGAATCCCCAAGCCCGAAACCCAAACCCTCAAGCCCTGAGCCTTCAAATCCCAGATCATGAACCCTACTGCGACTGCAACCCCCGTAAGCCCCTAAACGATAGAGCCTAAACCACTTTGGGTTTAGGGTTTAGGGTTTAGGAATTAGGCCAGTACACCCAGTTCAATCCGCTCCACAAGTCTTGAAGCCTGAACCCCTTAACAGCTCTACGTCTCTACGTGATTGTTTCAAGACTGCTGCATGTTTTCGACCTGTCAACAACATAAACCCTCATAAAACTTTGCAACCCTCAACCAAACCCCTAAACCCTAAACCCTACACCAATCCCCGAGAACAGTTCCCGCAATGCACCGTCTCGCGCAGCGCTTGCAGCTCTGCTTTGAGGTCAGCTGAGACCTAGCGAAGCTCTGGGTTTTAGACTTTGTGGATTGAGGGTTTAGGGTTTGGGTTTTCGCGGCTTCGTGTGGAGATCTCAGTTTCAGGGTTTCAGGGTGTCTGCCAACTCTTGCGGTCTGATTCCGAGTTGCAAACTCCGCCATCCAGAGTTTTGTAGGACGCTGTAACCTGCACGCCCTTCTCCAAACCCACAACAAATAATCATGAACCCTTACACCCTAAAACTCTAAACCTAGACAAAAAGACTCGAACAAACTTACGCGGCCGATGAATAATGGTACTACTACGAATGACCTGCAAAGTTTAAGTGCCGTGCCGACTGAAGGCCCAGAGCCGGTTGAAGTTAGTGCCCACTTACTTACGTACGCAAGGCATTTAGGGGTTAGGGTTTAGGGTTTAAGGCTTCTTAAGTTTAGGGTTTAGGTTTTAGGGTTTAGGGGTTTAGGGTCTATTAAGTTTAGGGCCCAACCCCTTGTGGTACATTTGATCCATTCTTAGGTCCACAAGACATCCTTGTGGCAAGCAAAGCATCCCTTGTGGTCCGTTTGATCCGTTCTCCAGGTCCACAAGGAATCCCCTGCGAGCCATTTAGGCACACAAGGCATCCCCTGTGGTCCACTTAGGTACAGAAGGCATCCCTTATGGTCCATTTGATCCATGCTTCTTAAGTCCATGAAACATCCCTTGCGGCCCACTTAGGCACACAAAGCATCCCTGTTGTCCATGTAGGCACACAAGGCATCCTACTTAAGTCCACTTCAGTACACGAGGCATTCCTTGCGGTCCGCGGCATATCTTGATTTCGTTAGGATTTTGAAGAATGTCGCTAGGAGTTTGAAGGATCTTCAGAGCATTTCGAAGGATTCACCTCGAATTTCGAACTGGATGGTCAAAAGTGTACATACACCTCAAAATCCCATGGAAAAATACTGATAGTAGTAATAATAACAATAATAATGACTCTCCGAAGGACGGCGCGATTCCATGATTCGGAGGCCATCCTGCTAGTCTCACGTGTGAACCTTCTCATTTGTGCGACGCCTGGGTGGTTGGAATCGGGTTTTGGGCTTTGGGCTCAGGTTTGTTGATGTTCATCATGCATGCGCATGGACTGCGTGCCGCCGGCACCTGGGCAGCTGATGCTCATGATGCACGCTCGTGCTGCGCCTACACTCAAACTGATGCAGATGATTGCTCCTTTTGCTGCTTGCTTCGGCACCTGCCCAGCTGATGCTCATGATGCACGCTCGTGCTGCGCCTACACTCAAACTGATGCGAATGATGCATTGCTCCTTTTGCTGCTTGCTTCGGCACCTGCCCAGCTGATGCGAATGATGCATGGGCCGAGGTTAGTTGCCATCAGGACCCACCCGGCCGCTGCTCATGACAACGCACGCCTGTCGTCTGCTTGCTGTAGAGCTGATGCTATTGAGGCAAGTGCTCTTGGCTTGTCACCCCACCCAGCTGATGCTCATCACACGGGCCGCCGCGGCTTGCAGCCAGCTGATGCTAATGACGCGCGTGCTCCTCTTGTTTGTTTGCTGTCGGCACCTGCCTGTAGCTGCCAGCTGCCGGCACATGGCCAGCTGATGCTCAGGATGCGGGCCATTTTGCTGCGTACTATCGGCCCGTCTAGCTGATGCGAAAAATCCCTGTGTGTCCGTTTACCACCGGTGCCATCCCAATGATGCTCATGATGCGCACACACCTTGCTGCTTGCTCCTGGCACAGGTTGGCAGCTGCCCAGCTGATGTTCATGATGCACGCACCACGGACACCTGAGCAGCTGATGCTCATGATGCGCGCTCGTCGTGCTGCCTGACATCGACCCCTCTCCAGCTGATGCAAATGATGCGTGCTCCTGTTGGTGCTGGGCACCTGCCCAGAGGCACGTGTTTGTGGCTGCTTGACGTGCGTGCTCTTCTTGATGCCGTGAACCTGCCTGCCTCCGGCACCTGGCCAGCTGATGCTCATGATGCTCGTTTGTTCTGCTGGTGGGATCGTGTGTGCATGAGGCTGTTCTGTTTACCACCGCCGTCCCAGCTGATGCTCATGATGCATGCGCACCTTGCTGCTCGCTCCTGCCCAGCCTGCCCAGCTGATGTTCATGATGCATGCGCCTGGGCTGCGTGCCACCGACACCTGAGCAGCTGATGCTCATGATGCGCGTTCGTCGTGCCGCCTGACATCGACCCCTCTCCAGCTGATGCAAATGATGCGTGCTCCTTTTGCTGCTTGCCGCAGCACCTGCCCAGCTGATGCTAATGATGCCTGGGCCCAGGGTAGTTGCCACCAGCTGCTCACCTGTTTGCTGTGGGCACCTGCCCAACTGATGCTAGTGAGGCACGTGTTTGTGGCTGCTTGACGAGCGTGCTCCTCTTGCTGCCGTCGGCACCTGCCTGCCTCCCGCACCTGGCCAGCTGATGCTCATGATGCGCGTTTGTTTTGCTGCACGGACCGTGCCAGGACCAGCGGATGTGTGTGCGTGTGGCTGTTTACCACCGGCACCTGCCCAGCTGATGCTCATGATGCACGCGCGCTCTTGCTGCTTGCTGTTGGCTGCCCAGCTGATGTTCATGATGCATGCGCCTGAACTGCGTGCCACCGGGCCCCTGGGCAGCTGATGCTTATGATGCACGCTCGTTTTGCTGCCTACACTCAAACTGATGCGAATGATGCATTGCTCCTTTTGCTGCTTGCTTCGGCACCTGCCCAGCTGATGCGAATGATGCATGGGCCGAGGTTAGTTGCCACCGAGACCCACCCGGCCGCTGCTCGTGACAACGCACGCCGTTCGTCTGCTTTCTGTAGAGCTGATGCTGATGAGGCAAATGCTTGTGGCTCCGAACTGATGCTCATGACGCGGCTGTGATGCTGCCTGCAGCCAGTTGATGGTAATGAAACGTGTGCGCTTCTCTTGCGTGCTTGCTGTCGGCACCTGCGGCTGGCACCCCCGCCCAGATGAGTTTCGATGCTTGCTTCTCGTCCCTGCCCTCGTGCGGCTTCCCAGCTGCCCGTCATGAACATGATCAATAACAATACAATAGAGTCACAAATAGAGTCCCCATATAGTATCTTTTAACATTCTCCTACATTGCATTGAGAGAATCATCTAAAACCCTGTTTGAGCATATTGAGGACCCTATATCTCCCGAATGTCAAAACCCTCCCTAGACTCCCTAAACCCTAAACCCCATAACTCTCAGTCGTCAACAGGAGGAGAAGTTGCCGCAGCATTGCTGTGGGCACCTGGCTCTGTTTAGGGTCTGGGTTTGTCTTATCGGGTTTTTTAGGGTTTGGGTTTTGTAGGGTTTAGGCTTAGGGCTTCACTGTTTCAGGTTTTGGAGTTTCAGTCTAGCGCCTAGGCCTAGGAGTTCAGAGTCAAGACTGGGGGGTTCAGGGCAACTTTTGCAGAACCTTGTCGAACATCTCTTTCGAAGTCCCATCGGCCTCAAACTATACACTCAACAATCCCATACCCCAAGCCCTAAACCCTAAACCCAAAGCCCTGAAGCCCTATGAATGATGGCTCGAAGCTCTACAGATTGATATGCTGAGAGCGGTTCAAACCTGCTCACGGTCTCCTGCACTTTCTTAAGATTTGGGGCTTCTTCTGTGTTAATCCTGAACATCAGTACAGTAATGGTGGCAGCATGGACGACAGAGTGTAGATTTCAAGATCATAAGAGGTATGCATCGTCAGGTTTCGAACCCCATCCGACACCGATACCTAGAAAAATAATCACAGTTATGCGTAAGCTTGGTACCCTAAGGCCCTGAGACACAGGCTCACTAACCGTTCATGAACCTGTAAAAAAAAGTAAACCCCACACCCTAAACCCCTAGCCCCAAACCCCTAAACCCTAAACCCCCAAACCCTATTAAACCCTAAACTCCTGACCCGAACGCCCCAACGCCGCGAAAAAAGGCCCTGAGAACTTACAATGCCTGCTGTAGGGGGGGCCTTGGGAGTCAGAAGGTGGTTTTGCAGGTCTTCTAGGGTTGGATATAATCAGAGGCGACAGTAATTAGAACAGGGCCCTTCTTTTTGGGGCAGAGGGGGGGAAAACATAAATACACGGGGGCAGCAGTTCTGGCTCGACCGCACCTGCCGCCTCCTCAGCTACCACCAAAGTCTCCTCTCGCACGGCGCCCTGGCAGCGAGCATCTGGTCTTTACGGCGCTTGAAGGATTTGCACAAGCTCTTTTAAACCAGGAATGGCTTTGAGAAAGGTGCATGAAAACCCTAAACCCTAAACCCTAGAATGACTTTCTGGCATGTGGGGGAGGTGCGGAAGCTCTGCTGCTTGTTGGTCTGACCAGGAGTTTAAGATTTGGGGCTCTGGGTGCATAATATAAGGGCCTTAATGATTAGAATAGGGTTTGGGGTCCTTTATACTACATTTATAATTAGGAACCCCCAAAATAATTAGTATTGCTACTTATTAAGGCCCCCATGTAATGGCTTATGGCGCTAGGAATCAGGTTGCTGGGTTTCCCATGACATGCTAGAGACTGTTGGGCCCGGCGGCTGAAACTACCAAACTGCTACACCCAGCAACATGTAAGGCCCCTAAAACCACTCAGCCACAAAACAACAATGTAGGGGCTGCAATAAGTACAATAGGGTTTTGGGCCCCTTGATAGCGCACTTATAATCAGAAGCCTCAAGAATAAGATTGGTAATTGTTTAGGCTTCTAAGTTATCCATCCGCTCCGTACTTCTGCAGCCTTCTATCGCCGGAGGTGGCTTCCCCAAACCCTACAAGTTCAAAAACCTGCTCCGCAGACCCTGCACCCGAAGCCCTACAAACCTAAATTCTAGACTAGACACAGGCGCCCAGGCAACTAGAATAGTGTCTCACGGAATATTTGCATTACAATCATATAACCCCTAATCACCCACCCTAAACCCTAAACCCTAAACCCTGAACCCCAAACCCTTAACGCTAACCCTGAACCCTAAACCCCAAACCCTGAACCCTAAACCCCTAACCCCA